TGGCTAATTTTTTGATTTATTGTAGAGATGAGGTCTCACCAAGTTGCCCAGGCTGGTCTCAAACCTGTGGGCTCAGGCAATACTCTCATCTTGGCCTCCCAAAGTACTGGGATTATAGGCATGAGCCACCATGCCTGCTGAAACATGATCTTAAGCCCTTAATTTTTTTTTCTTTTTGAGTCACAGTCTTACTCTGTCACCCAGGCTGTCACCTCCACCTGCTAGGCTCAGACGATCTTTCCGCCTTAGCCTTCCAAGTAGCTGGAACTACTTCCAAGTAGCCACCACACCTGGCTAATTTTTTTATTTACTGTAGAGATGAGGTCTTGCCAAGTTGCAAAGGCTGGTTTCAAACCCCTGGACTCAGGCCATCCTCTCACCTCACCTCCATCTCCCAAAGTGCTGGGATTACGGGCATGAGCCATCGCACCTGGCCAGCCCTGACTTTAAAATAAAAGACCCTTGAGAGTTGCTTTTAACCTTATAACTTCTGCAATGATAGCATGACTCTCAGGCAGATTCTTTAAGAAATTAGGAAATGCAGAGCATAATGAGTGTTTCCACGTGTGTGTGCGTCTCACTGTGTCACTCCGGTTGGAGTGCAATGAATGTCACAATCATGCCCACTGCAGCTTCAAACTCCTGGGCTCAAGGAGCCTCCTGCCTAAGCCTCTGGAGCAGCTGGGACTACGGGTATGCACCACCGCATCTTGTGGAGATTTTTTTTTCCCTTTTTTTGAGTTGAAGTCTCACTCAGTCGCCCAGACTGGAGTGCAGTGGCTGCTCCCGGCCACCGCAGCCTCGACCTGCTGAGCTCCAGCAATCTTTCCGCCCAGCCTTCTGAGTAGCTGAAGTTACAGGCGCATGCTACTATGCCCGGCTAATGTTTTGATTTATTGTAGAGATGAGGTCTCGCCAAGTTGCCCAGGCGGGTCTCAAACCCGCGGGCTCAGGCAATCCACTCACCTCAGTCTCCCAAAGTGCTGGGATTACAGGCTGAGCCACCAAGTCCGGCTTTTCCTCTCTTTTTTTGAGTCAGAATCTCATGCTGTCACCCAGGCTGGAGTGCAGTGATCACGTCTTATCACAGCCTGGACTTCCTGGGCTCAGGCAATCCTTCCGCCTCAGCCTCCCGAGTAGCTGGGATTATAGGTTTGTGTCACCATGCCTATTTATTTCTTTATTTATTTTGGTCTTGCTTTGTTACCCAGACTGGTCTTCCACTTTAGCATCCCAAACTGTTGGGATTACAGGTGTGAGCCGCTGCAGCCAGCTGATAGTTGTCTTTTAAAAGGAACCCTTACCTTTTTTTTTTTGAGTTGGAGTTTCACTCTGTCACCCAGACTGGAGTGCAGTGGCACGCTCCCGGTCACCGCAGCCTCAACCTGCTGGGCTCTGGCAATCCTTCCACCTCAGCCTTCCAGGTAGCTGGAACTACAGGTGCACACTACCACACCCTGCTAATTTTTTTATTTATTGTAGAGACGAGGTCTTGCCAAGTTGCCCAGATGGGTCTCGAACCCGCGGGCTCAGGCAATCCACTCACCTCGGCCTCCCAAAGTGCTGGGATTACAGGCTGAGCCACCGAGCCTGGAAGCCCTTACCTTTTAAGATTCACATTTACATATGGAGGAAAAATGTGTCTGTGATTTACTTTAAAATAATCTGTAGAGCCAGGTGCAGCGGCTCATGCCGCTTTGGGAGGTGAAGGCGAGAGGATCACCTGAGCCCATGGGTTCAAGACCAGTCTGGGCAACTTGGCAAGACCTCATCTCTACAGTAAATCAAGAAATTAGCCACACGTGGTGGCCCATGCCTGTGGTTCCAGCTACTTGGAAGGCTGAAGCAGAAGGATCACTTGATCCCAGCAGGTCGAGGCTTCAGTGGCCATGAGCGTGTCACTGAACTCCAGCCTGGGTGACAACAGAGGGAGACTCCAACTCAAAATAATAATAATAATAATAATAATAATAATAAACTGTAGAGAGGAGTGAGAGTATAAATGAAACAAGATGGACCATCAGTTGAAAATTGTTGAAACTGAGTGATGGCTGCATGGGAGTTCAATACAGTCTTCTATTTTTTTAAACCAACTAATGTATTTCTGAATAATTTGTGAAGTAATCAACAACTTAGGTAAGTTTTAAAATTTTTTGTAGAGACAGGATCTCTACAAAAGACTGATGTTAAACTCCTAGGTTTAAATGATCCTTCCCTCTTACCCTCCTAAAATACTAGGATTACAGGTGTGAGCCACTGTGCCTACCTCTCTACTTTTTAATATATTCAAATTTTTCTTTAATGAAAAGTTTTAAAAGGGAGAGAATAATGGGTGCTGAGATACAGCCTGCTGTTCAGTCAGTTTGGGAATCAGGGAGAGCTCACACGGTCAGCTTCATAGGAGGGCAGGCTGCCTGCAATAAAAACAGGAAGCTGGAGCATCCTGGCCCCAGCTCCCAGCCAGGGGCTGCAGGCTCCAGTTACTCACAAAAAAAAAAAAAGAAAGAAAGAAAGAAAAAGAAAAAAGAAAAACAAGGAAACAAAGCTTAGAGGGCTCTGGGGCAGGGTGTGCTATGGATAGTGACACTGCTATGGTAATGGGTTTGACAGACTTCAGAGATGAGCAGGCTAGATTGGGTAAAAGAGACAGCAAGTCTGAACTTGAGGCTAAATGTGAAATCACACACTCTGTGTAGTAGACACGTGGTCAGCACTGGCTCCCAGAACCTGGTGCTCCTACAGCTCCCTCTCCCTGTATGCTTATGCCAGCACATATGATAACTGGAAACTTGTCCAATCACCTCACTGCACAGCCTAGCAAAGGGCCAGTACCAGTGGGGTGATCAGCCAAGGATGTCTGGACAAATGGATGGATGTAAGGAATTGGAGGCCTTTCCTGGTGAGAGAGGCAGTAGCTCGAAGTAGAGGGACTCAAGGAATCCCCATTTGACTTGGCCAGGAGGGCATCACTGCAATCATTTGCCTGCCCAGCAGCTCAATTTTCTCACCTTCAAAATGAGGCTGGTAAAAAACCCCATCTTGTGGGTTATTGTAAGGACTGCATGGGCTAAATCATGTCAAACCGGTAGCACATAGCCTGGGCAGCATAGTGTGGCCTAATCTCTACAAAAATCAAAAAATCAGCTGGGCATGGTGGCGCACACCTGTAGTCCCAGTTACACAGTAGCTGAGGCAGAAAGATTGCCTGAGCCCAGGAGGTAGAGGCTCCGGTGAACCGTGATCATGCCACTGCACTCCAGCCCAGGCGACAGAGACTCTGACTCAAACAAAACAAAACAAAGCAAACAAAACAACAACAACAACAAAACATTAGTAGCACAGCTCTGGGCACATAGTAACTCTGTCTGCCTGTCTGCTCTCATCATCACTATTATTGCATACTGGCTTGCTCAGTGAAGGAAGTGGAGGCAGCATCCTCCTAAGTGCCAAGTTGACCTGCTCTTCAAGAAATGTTGGCTGAGCATGTCTGGCGTGCAAGTATAGTGCCAGGTGCCAGAATGTGGTGGTTGTGGCCTCAGTGAGTTCGTCTGCCAGCTTCAGCAGTAGCCAACCATTATAGAGTGCTGTTAGGAGGGAAAAGGAGGAAAGAGAGGTCCCAGCAAAACCTAAGCCTGAGAGAGTGGAGAGGCCTGCCCACTCCCTGGTTTTTAGAGAGCAAATGTCACCAGAAAGGATTTGGATTTGTCAGAGTTCTCCATGATATGCCTCTCTCTCCAAGCAACTGAATATCACAATTCAGGGGATGCTATCTGAATCCCAGAGACATTCTTTTTTTTTTTTAGAAAGCAGGATTTATTGAGAGGAAAGAAAAGCTCCCAGAGCAGGAGGGAACCTGAGGGGGTTTCCCCCAGGGACATTCTTGATGGCCTTGTTGGATCTAGCTACTGCATCCCAAGCTCCTTTTACCTCCTTCCCTATCCTCAGCTGATGGCACTACCTCAAGAATGTGGGGACTAGGGGCGATGGTTCATGTCTGTAATCCCTGCACTTTGGAAGGCTGAGGAAAGAGAATTGCTTGAGCCCAGGAGTTCGAGACCAGCCTAGGCAACGTCGTAAGCCACGAAAACAAAGCAAAAACAAAAAAATTAGCTAGATATGGTGGTATGCACCTGTAGTCCCAACTACTTGGGAGGCTGAGGCAGAAGGATCACCTGAGCCCAGAAGGTCAAGGCTGCAGTGAGTCGACAGAGTGAGACCCCGACTAAAAAAAAAAAAAAGTATGTGGGATAGCATGCAAACCAATCTCAGGACAGAAGCCAAGCCTGTAGGCTTCACATCAGAGTTACCAGAACATCTGGTCCCCAGAAGCTGCCTAGTCAGACACTTCAAGCCTGCTTTGCTCTGGGAAACTTGTGTACTGGATCCTCTGTACTGCCTGAAATTAGGCAGAGCCTGGCTGCAGGATGAGCTCAGCAGTGCACATGGGATCCAAGTCATCAGTTATCTTCATCAAAAAACAGCCCAGGAATGTCGGACAGAGGTTAGTGAAGCTGCAGAAAAGAAAAGTGGGGGTTGGGGAGAAGGTTGGGTGGAAGCAGAAAATGGAGATGTGTTAGTAGCTATTGCACTTCTCCTAGAAAGAGAAACATTGACTGCCTTTTGAGGAAGAAAAATGTGCTAGCTATTGGCCACTTCAGGAAGAGTGGCTTTAGTTTTGTGATTGGAGGATGTGTGTCTGTGGTGGCAGAACAGTCTTCTGGCGTCAAGACTGTTGTTTCTTGGGAATTTGTTTGTATCAATTATCATGGGAACAGATCCAGAGCAACACTCAGAAAGAAGCAGGGGCAGCGTATGTCTTCAGGACCAGGGGGCCTGGATGAAGAGGACAATCATCTGGGCACTGCTGGATACTAAGTAAGCCCCACCTGCACCCTACCTCTGCACTCTGAGTTTGGGAGACAGTCGTGCACTATAACTCGGTCTGACTTCTTCCTTCCCTGCGTGTTCTTGAAATACCTGCTAGGCTCAGGCAATCCTTCCACCTCATCCTTCCAAGTAGCTGGAACCACAGGCACATGCCACCACACCCAGCTTTTTTTTTTTTAATTTATTGAAGAGATGAGGTCTCGCCAGGTTGTCCAGACTGGTCTCGAACCCCTGGGCTCAGGCAATCCTCTCACCTCCACCTCTCAAAATACTAGGATTACAGGTGTGAGCCACTGCGCCCAGCTAGATTTTGTTAAAAGAATAGGTTTGGCGCCGGTCTCGGTGCCTCAGCCTGTAATCCCATGCCTTTGGGAGGCTGAGGTGAGTGGATTGCCTGAGCCCATGGGTTCGAGACCCGCCTAAGCAGGCGAGACCTCATCTCTACAATAAATCAAAAAATTAGCCAGGTGTGGTAGCGCGCGCCTGTAATTCCGGCTACTGGGAAGACTGAGACGGAAGGATCGCCGGAGCCCAACAGGTCGAGGCTGCGGTGGCCACTGCACTCCAGTCTGGGCAATAGTGAGACTCCAACTCAAAAAAAAAAAAAAAAAAAGAATAGGTTTGGCTTCTCTGTGAAGAATGAACTGGAGGTGAGGAGACCAGGAGAAGGTAAGTGACGAAGGTGGCCTGTCCTGGTTGGAAGAGGTAGTGGGAACAAGGAGACACTCCCAGAAGACATTTGGAGATTGAAGCAGCAGGATTTGAAGATGCCATGAAGTGGGGTAGGGGGAGTCAGGGAGGAGTCATCAGGGGTGACACTCAGGGTCAGCTCTGGAGTCACGCCCTGGCCTTCCCTTCACCCATCCTGTTTCCACTTCTCTCATTGCCAGCATCTGGATAACTTGGGTTGTAGCCTCTGTCCCTGAATTGTCTCCGTGTTCAGGTCTGTGCCGCTGATACCAGAAATTCCTAGGACAAGATTTCGCTGGTGTGTGCTTGTTTCCCCTGCAAGGGACAGGGCACGGGGTGGCCTTGGGTGAGGCTGAGGGGAGGACAGGCATCTTGTTGGCTAAAACCTGCTTACCACTGGGGTGTGAGTGTTCACATGCCTTTTAGTGTATAAAGATATAGGTGTGTCTGCATTTCCATGATTACTTTATATGGTCACCTCAAGGCTGATGTTTGAGGACTGAAGTTGGATATTATGGAAAACTGCTGCCCAGCTAATCCACAGAGACAGTTCCCACCTTCACTGGCTCAATAAGGCCTGCCTCTACTGGTCTAGCACCTTCCTCAATTCTTAGGATGCCAGACATTCGGCCTCTGGAGAAAAGCTAAAAAAACCTTTAAAAACTAAATTCTAGCCGGGCTCAGTTGCTCAGCCTGTAATCCCGTGCTTTGGGAGGCTGAGGTGAGTGGATTGCCTGAGCCCACAGGTTCGAGACCCACCTGGGCAACTTGGCGAGACCTCATCTCTACAATAAATCAAAAAATTAGCCAGGCGTGGTAGTGCACACCTGTAGTTCCAGCTACTTGGAAGGCTGAGGCGGAAGGCTTGCCGGAGCCCAGCAGGTCGAGGCTGCGGTGTCTCCAACTCAAAAAAAACAAAAACAAAAAACAATTAAATTCTCTCCCAGCCACTCCCTTATCAGCAGCTGTTATTTCTTTATTCCTGCCTACCTCTTCCCTATTTTTAAAACCTTATTTTATTATTATTATATTTTGTGTTGGAGTCTCATTCTGTCACCCAGGCTGGAGTGCAGTGGCATGATCATAGCTCACTGCAACCTTGACCTTCTGGGCTTGGATGATCTTTCTGCCTCAGCCTCCCTAGTAGCTGTCAGTACAGGCACACATCACCATGCCTGGCTAATTTTTTTATTTGTATATGTTGTAGAGACAAGGTCTGTCTACATTACCTAGGCTGGTCTCAAACTCCTGGGGTCAAACAATCCGTCCACCTCAGCCTCTCAAAGTGCTAGGATTATAGGCATGAGCCACCGTGTCTGGCCTGAATTTTTTTTTTTTTTTTTTTTTG